CTGAAGAAATGCTTCCTAATATCCCTGTGGCTCATCCGAGTCTTCAACTTCCAAGAGTAACCCCTTGTTTCTGTGTCTCCTCTCTGGAACATCTTGTCTCTGTCCACCTTGTCTATTCCACGCAGTATTTTGTATGTCGTTATCATGTCTCCCCTATCCCTCCTGTCCTCCAGTGTCGGCAGGCCAATTTCCCTCAACCTTTCTTCATAGGACATTCCCCTTAGCTCTGAAACTAACCTTGTTGCACACCTTTGCACTTTCTCTAATTTCTTAACGTTCATGACCTGGTGCGGGTTCCAAACTGGTGCTGCATACTCCAGTATGGGCCTGATATACACAGCGTACAGTGTCTTGAAAGATATCTTACTTAGGTATCGAAATGCTAATCTCAGGTTTGCCAGGCACCCATATGCCGCAACAGTTATCTGGTTGATGTGTGCTTCTGGAGACGTGTTCGTGTTATACTCACGCCAAGAACTTTCTCCTTGAGCGAGGATTGCAGTCGTTGGCCACCTAGCCTATACTCTGTCTGCAGTCTTCTTTGTCCTTCTCCGATCTTCATGACTTTGCATTTGGCAGGGTTGAATTTGAGAAGCCAGTTGCTGGACCACGTGTCCAGCCTGTCCAGGTCTCTTTGAAGGCCTGCCTGATCCTCATCTGATGTAGTTCTCATTAATTTCACATCATCTGCAAACAGGGACACCTCTGAGTCTATCCCATCCATCATGTCATTCACATATCAAAAAAAGTATCCAAAACAGTTGGGATCCTCTCCAAGATACGATACTACGTGCCGCAAAATGCCCTTCTCACGCTATACCATTCACTCATTTATCCATACCTCACCTATGCTATTTGTGCTTAGGGATCAACTGCAGCAACACACCTAAAGCCAATAATAACTCAACAAAAAGCCACAGTAAGAATAATCACTAAATCCCATCCCTGGCAACACTTCCCCCCCACTCTTCATAGATCTAAACTTACTCCCTGTTCAGAACATCCACACTTACTACTGTGCAATCTACATATACAGGACCCTAAATTCCAATATTAACCTTGACCTAAAATGCTTTCTTGATAGTTGTGACAGGACCCACAGGCATAACACCAGACACAAACATCTCTACGGCATTCCCCGTGTCAGACTAAACCTTTACAAAAATTCAATGTACATCAAAGGCCCTAAAATCTGGAACACCCTACCTGAAAACTCTAGAACTGCAGACACATTCTTCACCATCAAAACTACCATTAAAAAAATCTTATCTCCCTGATAACTACATAAAAACCACCTGGTGGTTCACACTTGTACTCACTCACTCACCCATTTGACTATAAACACAGAAATACGCATCTTAATCTTATAATAATGACTCCTAACTAGTCATAAGTTTGCCTGTGATACTCCAACATAGAAACTATGTACAGTGGACCCCCGCATACCGTACGCATCGCATACCGTACAATCCGCATACCGGTCGCTTTGATCGCAAAAATTTTGCCTCGCATACCGCCCAAAAACCCGCTCACCGCCCTTCGTCCGAGACGCGTCCAATGTGCGGCCTGAGCCAGCCTCATATGTTCCGCCGGTGGCATTGTTTACCAGCCAGCCTCCGCGGTAACATCCAAGCATACAATCGGAATATTTCATATTATTACAGTGTTTTCGGTGCTTTATCTGGAAAATAAGTGACCATGGGCCCCAAGAAAGCTTCTAGTTCCAACCCTACAGCAATAAGGGTGAGAATTCCAATAGAGATGAAGAAAGAGATCATTGATAAGTATGAAAGTGGAGTGAGTGTCGCCGACCTGGTCAGGTTGTACAAGAAACCCAAATCAACCATCTCTACTATTGTGGGCAACAGAAAGCAATCAAGGAAGCTGTTCTTGCCAAAGGTTTAACTGTGTTTTCGAAACAGAGATCGCAAGTGATGGAAGATGTTGAGAGACTCTTATTGGTGTGGATAAATGAAAAACAGCTAGCAGGAGATAGCGTCTCTCAAGCGATCATAAGCGAAAAGGCTAGGAAGTTGCATGAGGATTTAATTAAAAAAATGCCTGCAAGTAGTGATGATGTGAGTGAATTTAAGGCCAGCAAAGGTTGGCTTGAGAGATTTAAGAAGCGTAGTGGCATACATAGTGTGATAAGGCATGGTGAGGCTGCCAGTTCGGACCACAAAGCAGCTGAAAAATATGTGCAGGAATTCAAGGAGTACATAGAAAGTGAAGGACTGAAACCTGAACAAGTGTTTAATTGTGATGCAACAGGCCTGTTTTGGAAGAAAATGCCAAGCAGGACCTACATTACTCAGGAGGAAAAGGCACTCCCAGGACATAAGCCTATGAAAGACAGGCTTACTTTGTTGATGTGTTCCAATGCTACTGGTGATTGCAAAGTGAAACCTTTATTAGTGTATCACTCTGAAACTCCCAGACCGTTCAGGCAAAAGAATGTCCTCAAGGAGAATTTGTGTGTGCTGTGGAGGGCAAACAGTAAGGCATGGGTCACTAGGGACTTTTTCTATGACTGGTACACCATGCATTTGCCCCCAATGTGAAAGATTACCTAACTGAAAAGAAATTAGAACTTAAGTGCCTCCTGGTGTTAGACAATGCCCCTGGTCATCCTACAGACGTGGCAGAGCGACTTTATGGGGACATGAAATTCATTAAGGTAAAGTTTTTGCCTCCTAATACCACTCCTCTCCTGCAGCCCATGGACCAGCAGGTTATTGCAAACTTCAAAAAACTGTACACAAAAGCTCTGTTTGAAAGGTGCTTTGTAGTGACCTCAGAAACTCAACTGACTCTAAGAGAGTTTTGGAGAGAGCACTTTAATATCCTCAATTGTGTAAACCTTATAGGTAAGGCTTGGGAGGGAGTGACTAAGAAGACCTTGAACTCTGCTTGGAAGAAACTGTGGCCAGAATGTGTAGACAAAAGGGATTTTGAAGGGTTTGAGGCTAACCCTGAGAGGATTATGCCAGTTGAGGAATCCATTGTGGCATTGGGAAAGTCCTTAGGGTTGGAGGTTAGTGGGGATGATGTGGAAGAGTTGGTGGAGGAGGACAATGAAGAACTAACCACTGATGAGCTGATAGATCAACTTCAACAGTAAGAGGCCAGACCTGAGGAAACTGGTTCAGAGGAGGGGAGAGAGAAATTGAAGAAGTTGCCTACTACAAAGATTAAGGAAATCTGTGCAAAGTGGCTTGAAGTGCAAACCTTCATGGATGAAAATCACCCTCACACAGCTATTGCAAGCCGTGTTGGCAACCTGTACACTGACAATGTTGTGAAACACTTTAGGGAAGTCATAAAGGAACGAGAGGTACAGGCCACTATGGACAGATATGTTGTGCGACAGAAGTCCAGTGACTCTGAAAGCGGTCCTAGTGGCATTAAAAGAAGAAGGGAAGTAACCCCAGAAAAGGACTCGACACTTCAAGTCTTAATGGAAGGGGATTCCCCTTCTAAACACTAACACTCTCTCTCCCCTCCTCCCATCCCATCAATCATCACCAGATCTTCAATAAAAGTAAGTGTCATGTAATTGTGCATGCCTTTTTCAGTTTGTGTGTATTAAAATTAACATTTCATGTGGTAAAAATTTTTTTTTTTTTTCATACTTTTGGGTGTCTTGCACGGATTAATTTGATTTCCATTATTTCTTATGGGGAAAATTCATTCGCATACCGAACATTTCGCATAACAACCAGCCCTCTTGCACGGATTAAGGTCGCTATGCGGGGGTCCACTGTATTGTGCCAAAACAAAAGCATTCACATTGCTAAACTCACAAACTAGTATTTAGTTACTTAGTATTTAGTCAACTTACTCAACAATTTATAATAATTTAGGGTTAAGAATTATTCTAAGTTTGCCCAAAATGCCTAGCCATGCTAGGTGTTCTAGTGGCCCCGTCTGTAATTAGTATTTTATTACATGTAAACCACAAAATAACAAAAATCTGTAAACCCCGCATTGTAATCCTTACAGAGAATAAACTTTGATTTGATTTGATACCAGAAATAGCACTGGTCCTAGGACTGACCCCTGTGGGACCCCACTCATCACAGGTGCCCACTGTGATACCTCATCATGTACCATGACTCATTGTTGCCTCCCTGTCAGGGATTCTCTGATCCACTGAAGTGCCCTTCCCATTATACACACCTGATCCTCTAGTTTCTGGACTAATCTCTTGTGAGGAACTGTGTCAAAGGCCTTCTTGCAGTCCAAGAAGATGCAATCAACCCACCCCTCTCTCTCATGTCTTACTTCTGTTACTTTATCATAAAACTCCAGAAGGTTTGTGACACAGGATTTGCCTTCCATGAAACTGCTGGTTGTCATTTATACTTTTGTTCCATTCCAGGTGCTCCACCACTCTCCTCCTGATAATCTTTTCCATGACTTTGCATACTATACACGTCAGTGACACTGGTCTGTAGTTTAGCGCCTCTTTTCTGTCTCCTTTTTTAAAAATGGGAACTACATTTGCCGTCTTCCATACCTCAGGTAGTTGCCCAGTTTCAAGGGATGTGTTGAAGATTGTGGTTAATGGGACACACAGCATTTCTGCTCCCTCTCTAAGGACCCATGGGGAGATGTCCGGTCCCATTGCCTTTGAGGTATCAAGGTCACTTAGCAGCTTCTTCACCTCCTCCTCAGTTGTGTGTATGTAATCCAGCACTTTTTGGTGTATATCCTGTTGGTGTCCCTCCTTTGTCCTGTCTTCCTAGAGTCCTTCCTGTTTCCACTGTGAATACTTCCTTAAATCACTTGTTTAGCTCCTCACATACCTCTTGATCGTTTCGTGTGAGTTCCCCACCTTCTTTCCTCAGCCTGATCACCTGGTCTTTGACTGTTATCTTTCTCCTAATGTGGCTATACAGCAGTTTCGGGTCAGACTTGACTTTTGATGCTATGTCGTTTTCATACTGTCGCTGGGCCTCCCTCCTGTATAATGATTACCATACCCTAAGTGTTCATAGGAGTGTGTTCAAAAAGGGTTCACTGTATTCATTTTTGTAATACAGTACTGAATACCATATACAGTTTAATCTATGCATGTGCAATCACAACTTTTCTCTTTTGCTTTTCAGGTGTCCCTGTTATTGTTGTTGTGGCGGCCATTATAGCAGATGTTGATGTTTATGGTGATAAAAATCATGGCTTTTGTGTCATTAGTCCTATCCCCAATTCTGTTATTTACTACACGACCTATATGGGTAAATAGATTTACAATTACTTTTCTTTTAATATAAATAAGTTAATAAACACCACTATTATTCATACTTTTGCATGTATATTTAATTAATGAAAAATATCCATTACAGTTAGTGCAAAAACATCATTCACATACTAGTATTGTGATGCTAGTTTAGCTCTGGTGTTTGTTTGTATATGACTTTTGACTATAGTCTAGTATATTTAATTTCCATCATATATCATGTTGGTATACATACACATTTTGCAAGTCACCATTTAATTCTCATTTAAGACAGAGATTCATCCCACAGAAATCTTTGTATATTCATATGGCAAAAGTTAGTTAGTTTAATATGTTTATTATGCACCCCATACCCATCCTGTGGGAGGTGGTCAAAAGATTACAGAGGTACATAATGGGTCCAGGGACTAGGCCCCAAAGTTTGGATAGCAGAGCAAGTTACAAAGGTAATGAATCATGTAAGTAAGTAAATTTACTTATTTACATTTATACTTGGCTACAATCATGAACAAATTATAAAGTAATGAGCAATTCACACGTCCACACCTGGTCACAAATATATCAAGTTATTGGTGAAAGTCAAAACATTTTCATTGTATGTCAGACTTAATTTTGTTTAACGTGAAATATCTGCATGAAATATCTGGATGGGGGTGTAGAACAAGAGGGGAATTGATGCTTGACACTTGAGTCTTTTTCTTTTCCATTCTCATAAGAGCTGCTCCATGTAGCTTCATAATTTTGTCCATATGTATATCGAATCTTGTTTAAACTGACATTGGTACAAGTGAACCCACATTGAGAAAATTGAACAAAAGACAAGAGGACTACTGCATTTTCTGCTGTAGATATCCTTCATTTTATGTCAAAATATAAAATACAGTGGAACCCCGAGTTTCGGCTGTAATCCATTCCAGAAGCTTGGCCTAAACTCAAAGCGGCTGAAAGTCAAAGCAATATTTCCCATAAGAAATAATGTAAATCCAATTAATCCATTCCAGATCCACAAAAATATTCACAAAAAATACATTTTTTAAAGAATAACTATATTTTTACATACACAAAACAATTACATGTATAAATACATATACTAGTACTTAAATGAGTAATGAAATAGATAAATAAATATTTAAATAAACATTTAAAAATCATATTTACATACCTTTATTGAAGACTTGTTGGCGTCTGGAAGATAGGGAGGAGGAGAGAGGGAGGACTTATTATTGTTTGGAAAGGAAATCCCCTCAGCCACTGCCTCCACCACTGCCTCAACCACTGTGGATATTGTGGATATTGACATGTTAGTGGTGGGTGGGTGCGGAAGCCCAGGAGAAATGTTCCTGTCCAGGACAAGTTCATTCAGTAGCTGAAGCACAGCCTTCACACACTATACTCGCACACACTCACCCACCCACCCATCCATCCCTCTCACATTCACCCCTACATCTACCCACCCTCTCACAGTGGTTGAGGCAATGCCACTGCCTCAACCACTGCCTTCACCACTGCCTCCACCACTGTTTCCACCACTGCCTCAACCACTGCCTCAACCACTGTCTCAGCCACTGCCTCAACCACTGCCTCAACCACTGCGGCAGTGATGGATGCAGTGGCACTGCCTCAGTGATGGATGCAGTGGCACTGCCTCCACCACTGTGGATATTGTGGATGTTGACGTTGTGTTGGTGGTGGGTAGGTGTGAAAACCCAGGAGGGGTGCTCCTGTCCAGGACAAGTTCGTTCAGTGGCTGAGGCGCAATCTTCACACACTGTACTCACATATACTCACCTCACCCATCCCTCTCACATGCACCCCTACATCTACCCACCCTCTCACAGTGGTTAAGGCATTGGCACTGCCTCCACCACTGTGGATATTGATGTTGTGTTAGTGGTGGGTGGGTGTGGAAGCCCAGGAGGGCTGTTCCTGTCCAGGACAGGTTCATTCAGTGGCTGAGGCACAACCTTCACACATTATACTCTCACGCATTCACCCACCCACCTATCCCTCTCACATTCACCCCTACATCTATCCACCCTTTCACAGTGGTTCAGGCAGTGCCACTGCCACCACCACTGCCTCAACCACTGCCTCAACCACTGCCTCCACCACTACCTCCACCACTGCCTCAACCACTGCCTCCACCACTGCCTCAACCACAGCTTCCACCACTGCCTCAACCACAGCTTCCACCACTGCCTCAACCACTGCCTCTACCACTGCCTCCACCACTGCCTCAACCACTGCCTCAGCCATGGAGGGTAATATTTACTCGAGGATAAACAAAGCTACACTGACTCACAACACCTGCTCGGATAGGTCTGGTACACGGGCTGAAACACGGGGCATAGTGCAAAACACTGGACAAAATTTAGCCAAAAAAAGCGCTCGAAACTCAAAGCGGCTGGAGCTGGCCGAAACTTGGGGTTCCTCTGTACAGTGGAACCTCAGCTTATGAGTTTCATCCATTCTGTGACCTTGTTTGTATCCTGATTTGTTCGTATGCTGAGTCAATTTTACTCATTTAAATTAATTGAAATGGCATTAATCCATTCCAGCGGAATTCCTGCTTTCAGGAGGCACTACAGAGTACTTCAATGTGATGCTAACATCAACTCTGTGGCTTATTTATCTATCACAATTCATTTAATTTCACCATCACTCAAGGAATGCGCAAAAGGTCCATCATTGTCAATGTTCAGCATTTCTTCGATGTCAGCTTCCTGTAACTCCATTAGCACACAGTCAAGATGAGTAAATAGAACTGTCAACACTTATTGCTTGGGTACGTTTTTTCTGTTAGTGGGTTGGATTTGTGAAGGACCTGCCTGGTATGGGCCAACAGGCCTACTGCAATGTTCCTCCTTTCTTATGTTATTATGTACCCACGACACTAATCTCTTTTAAAAGCTACCCAAGGTCCTATCGAAGCTAAAATCTTGGATAGTTTCAAATTTAGGTTGGATAAATAGATGAGTCAGAGGGGGAGGATTTGAGTGGGACTTGCATGTGAGTAAATAGAATTATTAAAGCTTATTGCTTGGGTAGCGTTTATTCTGTTAGTAGGTTGGATTTGTGAAGGACTCGCGAAGTATGGGCCAAAAGGCCTGCTGCAGTGTTCTGTCTTTCTTATGTTCTTATGTTGATGAGTGGAACAGTCTGCCTAGTATAGTTATTGAGGCTACAACCTTGGGTAGTTTCAGATTTGTGTTGGATAAATACATGATGGGATAAAGATAGAAATGTTAAAAGCAGGTGGGGATATAGTTTTGGAATGGTTGTTGCTATTATTTAATAAATGTATGGAAGAGGGTAAGGTACCTAGGGATTGGCAGAGAGCATGCATTGTTCCTTTGTATAAAGGCAAAGGGGACAAAAGAGAGTGCAAAAATCATAGAGGGATAAGTCTGTTGAGTATACCTGGTACAGTGTAAGGTAGAGTTATTATTGAAAGAGTTAAGAATAAGATTGAGAGTAGTATAGCAGATGAACAAGGAGGCTTTAGGAAAGGTAGGGGGTGTGTAGACCAAGTGTTTACAGTGAAACATATAGGTGAATAGTATTTAGATAAGGCTAAAGAGGTTTTTGTGGCATTTATGGATTTGGAAAAGGTGTCTGACAGGGTGGATAGGGATGCAGTGTGGCAGATGTTGCAGGTGTATGGTATAGGAGGTAGGTTACTGAAAGCGGTGAAGAGTTTTTACAAGGATAGTGAGGTGCAGGTTAGAGTATGTAGGAAAGAGGGAGATTATTTCCCAGTAAAAGTAGGCCTTAGACAAGGAAGTGTGATGTCACCGTGGTTGTTCAATATAATTATAGATGGGGTTGTAAGAGAAGTGAATGCGAGGGTCTTGGCAAGAGGTGTGGAGTTAAAAGATAAAGAATCAAACACAAAGTGGGAGTTGTCACAGTTGCTTTTTGCTAATGACACTGTGCTCTTGGGAGATTCTGAAGAGAACTTGCAGAGGTTGGTGGATGAATTTGGTAGGGTATGTAAAAGAAGAAAATTAAAAGTGAATATAGGAAAGAGTAAGGTTATGAGGATAAAAATACTATTAGGTGACGAAAGATTGGATATCAGATTGGAGGGAGTGTTACGTTATTATGTCTTATTACTTTGATGGTAAGGTTCTCACTACATGTTCTAGTGTGGGGTAGCTTTTACTTAATGGCCTTATTTGTCTAGGGGTAATACTTACATCATGGCTGATCATCCTGAGTGTCTCTGATACCCTTTCACCAGCCCTCTTCACAGGTTATGTAAACTACTACTATAAAAATATAACTGTATTCTCAATAGATATGTACAGAATATACAATTACAGCCTCAAATTTTCAAAACAATGATCTACACACTGCATAGCTGTTCTCCCACATGGTGTACCTTATTAACTTTTGTCCTTCTCTCTTGACATAACTCTGGCTAACCAGTGTTTTGACACACTTTAGTCACCCTGGGTATGGTGGCCACAACTTAAATTATAAAAACTCACCCCTGGAGCACACATGATGCCCCAAAAGATAGGAGAAGGACCCAGAGATCCTGCCAGGTTGAAGGTCAGCCACAGAGAGAGAGAGTCAGTGAGAGGGGGAGAGAGAGAGAGCCTGGCTAAGCTCCTCCCACCAAAACAAAAGACTGTTGCCAAGCACAATTCTCCAGTTACCACAATTCTACCACCTCTTAATTTTACTTTTACAAAAAGAAATACAACTTTATAAACTACTTATTTAAATTGTGTGTTTATGTGTCTATAGTATAACCTATTATATTGAGAAAAATAGGTTTGACCCAGCTGCCTCTCAGTCATAAGGTTGATCAGTCCTTCTGACATTTAGAGCAAAGTCCCCATCAATTCAATATAATTAGGTATTATTATAGTAACTGTTACTTATAAATACATGTTGGGTCCTATAGCCCCATAACAGGGAGAGAGTATGGAGGAGGTGAATGTATTTAGATATTTGGAAGTGGACGTATCAGAAGATGGGTCGATGAAAGATGAGGTGAATCATAGAATTGATGAGGGGAAAAGGTTGAGTCATAGGTAGTAGGTTGGTAGACAGCAACCGCCCAGGGAGGTACTACCGTCCTGCCAAGTGAGTGTAAAACAAAAGCCTGTAATTGTTTTACATGATGGTAGGATTGCTGGTGTCTTTTGTCTGTCTCATAAATATGCAAGATTACAGGTACGTCTTGCTACTTCTACTTACACTTAGGTCACACTACACATACATGTACACGTTAATTTATACACACTCATCTGAGTTTTCTTTGATTTTATCTTAATAGTTCTTGGTCTTATTACTTTTCCTTTTATATCCATGGGGAAGTGGAATAAGAATCTTTCCTCCGTAAGCCATGCGTGTTGTAAAAGTCAACTAAAATGCCGGGAACAATGGGCTAGTAACCCCTTTTCCTGTAAACATTACTAAAAAGAATAAGAAGAAGAAAATTTCTTTTGGGGGGATTTTCTTTCTTTTTTGGGTCACCCTGCCTCGGTGGGAGACGGCCGACTTGTTGAAAAAAAAAAAAAAAAAAAAAAAGGTTGAGTGGTGCACTTGGGAGTCTGTGGAGACAAAGAACTTTGTCCTTGGAAGCAAAGAGGGGAATGTATAAGAGTATAGTTTTACCAATGCTCTTATATGAGTGTGAAGCATGGGTGATGAATGTTGCAGTGAGGAGAAGGCTGGAGGCAGTGGAGATGTCATATCTGAGGGTAATGTGTGGTGTGAACATAATGCAGAGAATTCATAGTTTGGAAGTTAGAAGGAGGTGCAGGATTGCCAAAACTGTTGTCCAGAGGGCTGAGGATGGGTTGTTGAGGTGGTTCAGACATGTAAAGAGAATGGATCAAAACAGAATGACATCGAGAGTGTATAACTCTGTAGCGGAGGGAAGGCGGGGTAGGGGTCGATCTAGGAAAGGTTGGAGGGAGGGGGTAAAGGAGGTTTTGTGTGCCAGGGGCTTGGACTTCCAGCAAGCATGCGTGAGTGTATTTGATAGGAGTGAATGGAGACAAATGGTTTTTAATACTTGGCATGCTGTTGGAGTGTGAGTAAAGTAACATTTATGAAGGGATTCAGGGAAACCAGCAGGCTGGACTTGAGTCTTGGAGAAGGGAAGTACAGTGTCTGTACTCTGAAGGAGGGATGTTAATGTTGCAGTTTAATAAACTGTAGTGTAAAACACCCTGCTGGCAAGACAGTGATGGAGTGAATGATGACGAAAATTTTTCTTTTTTGGGCCACCCTGCCTTGGTGGGAATTGGCCGATGTGTTAATAAGAAAAAATACATGAGTGAGAGTGGGACTTGCACATGAGTAAATAGAATTATCAAAGCTTATTGCTTGGGTAGCATCGAAAATTGAGTTGGGCAAATATTCTGTTAGTGGGATGGATTATGAAGGACCTGCCTAGTATGGGCCAACAGGCCTGCTGCAGTGTACTGTTATTATTAGTAGCACGTGCATATTATTATAATAATAATAATTATTATTATTAATTTTGGGAACTGGAGCACAGATCCAGTTCCCTATATCAAGAGCCCTTCACCAAAAAACCTCCATTGAGGGGGAAAGTTCGCATCCTGAAATTTCATTTGTAACCAGAAGCAAAAAATTGACTGAGCAACTGTTTGTATCCTGAAAAATTTGCATGGCGGGGCATTTGTAAGCTGAGGTTCCACTGTATTTTTGAAGTGTCTGACATGATGAAGAGAAATGGTATAAAATACCAACATGATAAACAGACAACATATGCAGTGTAATGAAACCCACTACTGGCAACATATCACCCACTGAAATGTTGTCAATCAAGGATCATATTATACTGCATTTGTTGTGTCTTTACATAAAATGCTTTTCGTACTTTCCGTTTAATTTTTTCCATGTGGCTTCACTTGTACCAACAGTGATATGTCCGCTCAGTTGATATTATTATAATCAAGGTGAAGTGCTAAACATATAGGAGTCATATAGCAACTGGGAAAATGGAGGCAATCAGGTATGATCTAAAGGAAAGGTAAGATAGTTCAAATGCCTTGGATGAAATGCCCCTCACTGGCATCAAGGTACTCCATTGATTGTCTACTCAAGATCATAAATTTACACATGGTCTACATGCTGGTGACTGACAAGATAAAAAAAAGAGAGGAGGAAATAATTGTGTGAGTTTATATTGACCAGTTATACTATATTACCAAAAAATTATTAGTACATTTTTTACCTTTTAAATATTAATAAAAGAATTTATTCTTTCCAAGGTCCCATCTGTTGTATGCTTCTGGTGAACTGCATAGTGTTTGTGATGGTGACACGTGTCCTGTGTCAGCGGCGGCCTCACTCTCACAAGCCAAAGTCACCTTCAGTTACAACAAGTATAGAGTTTCCTATCACACTTGCTCAGGTAACATTCTAGAATCTGGCTAGAGAATGGAGGTGTTGTGCTGTACACAAAAGTAAAGTACATAAAAGATTTACTTCTTTGTAAAGGTTACAATGTGTAATTACAATTTTAGTTTGCTAAGTACAAAGAAAGCCACTATCATGCTGGGGCATTTCAGGCAGACTGATCCTAGTACATAATAACTAGTACTTAAATCTAGACATGATAAGAGTGGTTAACTGTGATTAAAATCTTTATTTAATGTTAATAATAAGGTGGAGGTTTATAAAAATAATAATCTTGAAGTTGCACATAATAAAAACAATATTACAATTAATGGTTCAAAGAGTAATATTTCATGGATTGGCAGATGTTTCGTAGACTAGAGGTCATATAATTTAATATAAAAACTGATTTGAAGATGTTTTGGTTGGTTTGGTTAGTATTGAGAGATGAGATGATTTTTAAACAAAGTTCTAAATTTATAAGTAGTCAGGGGATCCTTTACTAGTTCAGGTAGTGAATTCCAGATTTTCTGGCCCTTTATGTGCATTGCATTTTTGCACAGTGTTAGACTAACACAAAGGATGTCGAAGAGTGTCTTATGCCTTGTATTGTGACTGTGCATTCTGTTGTAGCTATCAAGAAGTTTAAATGGAGGGTTTATATTCGAGTTTAATGTTTTGTATATGCAGTAGGCACAATAATATGAGTGCATGTCTCATATATATAGCAAGTTCAGGCTTTTGGAAAATGGTGGGGTGTGCTGAATAGCACAGAAGCTGGTAATCATCTGCACAGCAGCTTTTTGTTGGGTTATTAAAGGTTTAAGGTGGTTGGCTGTGGTTGATCCCCAGGCACAAATACCATAGGTGAAGTAGGGATATAGTAAAGAGTGATATAGGGTAAGGAGGTTGTTTGGGGTACATAGTATTGTATCTTGGAAAGGATGCCTAGTGATTTGGAAATTTCCTTGTGTATATGCTGGATGTGGGATTGAAATTTAAGATTACAATCAAGGAGAAAACCCATAAATTTGTCCTCAGTGTGTCTTGTAATAGGGGAACTATATATCGATACATTAAGTTGGATATTTAACACTGTTTCCAAACAGCATGAAGCATGTTTTGTCTATGTTGAGAGTGAGTTTGTTGATCATCATCCAAGTACAGTGGACCCCTGAATTTCGTTTGGTGCAGAAATCGTACAATTCGGATTTCGACCACTTTTATTGGCGAAATTTTACCCCAGGGGACAAAAAAATACAAAGCATCCAGATCATGGGAAAACCTGGGTAGCCACAGCCATTCAAAAGGGAGAGGTTTGTTAGTGCAAGGAAGGAAAAAAAACTGGCAGGAAATGGCAGAAATCGTACACTAAATCCAGTCATTTCTGGGGTGGAATCACAATCGATGGCCTCCACTCCAAACCAACAGATACAGATATTAGTGCCGGAAAGAAAAGTCCCCCCCAGTACCACCAATACCACCAATCCGATGACATTCTTCTTTGCAAATATACAGGGTCTAAAGCCAGCAACGAACAACAAAATACCTTTCATCCATGGACTGCTTGCAGAGGCAAATGCAATGTTAGCGACTTTCACTGAGACCCACATAAAGGATCACTTGGACAACGAAATACGGATCCTAGGTTACAACCTATACAGATGCCACAGAGTGAACAGGCAAAAGGAGGGGGGGGGGGGGGTTGGCCTGTATATCGCAGAGTCACTTATTTGCATAGAACTGCTAAATGCTTCAAATGATGTAGTTGAAGTTTTAGCAGTAAAGATCGAGACCCAAAATCTAGTCATTGTCGTAGTTTACAAGCCTCTGGATGCAACGTCCCAACAATTCCAGGAACAGCTTTTGAAAATTGACCACTGTCTGGAAAATCTTCCAGCCCCTGCCCCCAACATCTTGCTCCTGGGGGATTTCAACTTATGGCACCTAAAATGGAGGAATATAGCAAATAATGTTGTTGCAGTGATAACACCAGGAGGCAGCTCAGATGAGAACTCACACACACTCACACACACACACAAGCTTTTAAATCTCTGCACAAAATTCACCTTAAACCAGCAAATAATAGAGCCTACTAGATTGGAGAATACACTGGACCTCATCTTCACTAACAATGATGATCTGATACGAAACGTCACCATATCAAAAACAATATACTCAGATCACAACATAATTGAGGTTCAGACATGTATGCGCGGAGCCCCAGACCGACAAAATGTGATCATTCACGAGGGAGCCTTCACCAAATTCAGCTTCAATAACAAGAACATAAAGTGGGACCAGGTAAACCAAGTCCTAAATGATATAAGCTGGGAAGATAGTCTAAGCAACACAGACCCCAACTTATGCCTAGAATAGATTAACTTTGTGGCACTCAATGTATGCTCAAGGCATATTCCTTTAAGAAAAAGGAGGAGTAGATGTAAAATAGAAAGAGACAGGCGCTCTGTTTACAGGCGACAGAAAAGAATAACAGAGCGGCTAAAAGAGGCCAATATATCTGCAATGCGTAGGGAGACACTGGTCAGAGAAATAGCAAACATTGAATTAAAGCTAAAGGAATCTTATAGGAGTCAGAAATTGCGGGAAGAACTATAAATGAAATTGAAAGAAACCCAAAGTATTTCTCTTCTTATGCCAAATCAAAGTCGAGGACAACATCCAGTACTGGGCCCCTACTTAAACAAGATGGGTCCTACACAGATGACAGCAAGGAAATGAGTGAGCTACTGAAGTCCTAATATGACTCAGTTTTTAGCAAGCCAATAACCAGACTGAGAGTCGAAGATCTAAATTAATTTTTTATGAGAGAGCCACAGAATGTGGTAAACACGAGCCTATCTGACATTATCCTGACACCAAATAACTTCGAACAGGCGATAAATGACATGCCCATGCACTCTGCCCCAGGGCCAGACTCATGGAACTCCGTGTTCATCAAGAACTGCAAGAAGCCCCTATCACATGCTTTTAACATCCTATGGAGAGGGAGCATGGACACTGGGGTCGTCCCACAGTTACTAAAAACAACAGACATAGCCCCACTCCACAAAGGGGCAGTAGAGAAATAGCAAAGAATTACAGATCGATAGCGCTAACATCCCATATCATAAAAATTTTTGAAAGGGTCCTAAGAAGCAAGATCGCCACCCATCTAGATACCCATCAGTTACACAACCCAGGACAACCTGGGTTAAGAGCAGGTCGCTCCTGTCTGTCCCAACTACAGGATCACTACAACAAGGTCCTAGATGTACTAGAAGACAAAAAGAATGCAGATGTAATATACATAGACTTCGCAAAAGCCTTTGATAAGTGTGACCACGGCGTAATAGTGCACAAAATGCGAGCTAAAGGAATAACAGGAAAAGTTGGTAGATGGATCTATAATTTCCTGACAAATAGAACACAAAGAGTAGTAGTCAACAGAGTAAAGTCTGAGGCGGCTCCAGTGAAAAGCTCTGTTCCGCAAGACAGTACTCGCTCCCATCTTGTTCCTGATTCTCATATATAACATAGACAAGGATGTAAGCCACAGCACGGTGTCTTCCTTTGCAGATGACACCCAAATCTGCATGACAGTGTCTTCCATTGCAGACACTGCAAGGCTCCAGGTGGACATCAACCAAATCTTTCAATGGACTGCAGAAAACAATATGAAGTTCAACGATGAGAAATTTCAATTACTCCGATATGGTACACGTGAGGAAATTAAAACTTCATCAGAGTATAAAACAAATTCCAAGCACACAATAGAGCAAAAAACTAATGTCAAAGACCTGGGAGTGATCGTGTCAGAGGATCTCACCTTTAAGGACCATAACATTGTATCAGTTGCATCTGCTAGAAAAATGACAGGATGGATAATGAGAGCCTTCAAACTAGGGATGCCAAGCCCATGATGACACTCTTTAGGTTGCTTGTTCTATCTAGGCTGGAATATTGCTGCAGGTGAAATTGCTGACCTAGAAAATGTACAGAGAACCTTCACGGCACTCATAACTGGGAGCACTTGAAGTTCCTGAACCTGTACTCCCTGGAACACAGGCGGGAGAGATACATGATTATAAACACCTGGAAAATCTTAGAGGGACAAGTACCAAACTTGCACACAAAAATCACTCCCTACGAAAGCAAAAGACTCGGCAGACGATGCAACATGCCCCCAGTGAAAAGCAGGGGTGTCACTAGCATGTTAAGAGACAACACAGTAAGTGTCAGGGGCCCAAGACTGTTCAACTGCCTCCCAGCATACATAAGGGGGATTACCAATAGACCCCTGGCTGTCTTCAAGCAGGCACTGGACAAGCACCTAAAGTCGGTACCTGACCAGCCGGGCTATGGTTTGTACATTGGATTGCGTGCAGCCAGCAGTGACAGCCTGGTTGATCAGGCCCTGATCCACCATGAGGCCCGGTCACAGACTGGGCCACGGGGACGTTGACCCCTGGAACTCTCTCCAGGTAAACTCCGGGTAGGTTTTGTACATCCTCTTGGAAATCGTCCATACCAGACGCATCTGCCTGGTCCACTCATACATTCATGACTCACTCTTGGGCACATTAAATGTCTTATTTTATAATAATATAGACATTTAAGTTACTAAATGCTGTAAAGAGTTTTTATGAGGATAGTGAGGCTCAGGTTAGGGTGTGTAGAAGAGAGGGAGACTACTTCCCGGTAAAAGTAGGTCTTAGACAGGGATGTGTAATGTCACCATGGTTGTTTAATATATTTATAGATGGGGTTGTAAAAGAAGTAAATGCTAGGGTGTTCGGGAGAGGGGTGGGATTAAATTATGGGGAATCAAATTCAAAATGGGAATTAACACAGTTACTTTTTGCTGATGATACTGTGCTTATGGGAGATTCTAAAGAAAAATTGCAAAGGTTAGTGGATGAGTTTGGGAATGTGTGTAAAGGTAGAAAGTTGAAAGTGAACATAGAAAAGAGTAAGGTGATGAGGGTATCAAATGATTTAGATAAAGAAAAATTGGATATCAAATTGGGGAGGAGGAGTACGGAAGAAGTAAATGTTTTCAGATATTTGGGAGTTGACGTGTCGGCGGATGGATTTATAAAGGATGAGGTTAATCATAGAATTGATGAGGGAAAAAAGGTGAGTGGTGCATTGAGGTATATGTGGAGTCAAAAAACGTTATCTATGGAGGCAAAGAAGGGAATGTATGAAAGTATAGTAGTACCAATACTCTTATATGGGTGTGAAGCTTGGGTGGTAAATGCAGCAGCGAGGAGACGGTTGGAGGCAGTGGAGATGTCCTGTCTAAGGGCAATGTGTGGTGTAAATATTATGCAGAAAATTCGGAGTGTGGAAATTAGGAAAAGGTGTGGAGTTAATAAAAGTATTAGTCAGAGGGCAGAAGAGGGGTTGTTGAGGTGGTTTGGTCATTTAGAGAGAATGGATCAAAGTAGAATGACATGGAAAGCATATAAATCTATAGGGGAAGGAAGGCGAGGTAGGGGTCGTCTTCGAAAGGGTTGGAGAGAGGGGGTAAAGGAGGTTTTGTGGGCAAGGGGCTTGGACTTCCAGCAAGCGTGCATGAGCGTGTTAGATAGGAGTGAATGGAGACGAATGGTACTTGGGACCTGACGATCTGTTGGAGTGTGAGCAGGGTAATATTTAGTGAAGGGATTCACGGAAACCGGTTATTTTCATATAGTCAGACTTGAGCCCTGGAAATGGGAAGTACAATGCCTGCACTTTAAAGGAGGGGTCTGGGATATTGGCAGTTTGGAGGGATATGTTGTGTATCTTTATACGTATATGCTTCTAAACTGTTGTATTCTGAGCACCTCTGCAAAAACAGTGATTATGTGTGAGTGTGGTGAAAGTGTTGAATGATGATGAAAGCATTTTCTTTTTGGGGATTTTCTTTCTTTTTTGGGTCACCCTGCCTCGGTGGGAGATGGCCAACTTGTTGAAAAAAAAAAAAAAATAGACATTTCCATTAATCCATCTATGATATTTTCTTCAAAATTTTATAAGAAACATGTTACATAGCCTGTAAACATGCAATGTTTATGTGCTTTGGAGGGGTGGTAGTCGGTGGGGGGAAAACATTGTTTTGTCTGGTCCAGCATTAGAGAAAGTGTGTATGAATCTGCGTTGGCCCAGTCACCGCCCTTAATACATAACGCTTTTGTTTACAATTCTCAGCATGAATTATTCATTACTTCTCCCTTTGTTTATGATGGCATCTAAAGGTAGTTGTTAGAAATGATCAAACTCAGCGAACATGACATGTCGATGGCAATAATATGGCTCTGGACTGCAGTGTAGGTAGCCAGTAGGTGTAGCCAGGCTGCACCTACTGGCTACCTACACTGACTTCCTACAAATAAATACTACTCACCTCTACAAATATTTTAAGGTAAGTAATGAATGTACTGTGTATGTATTTTACTTTTTATTGTGTTTTTTAATGCCTAGTTCTGTTACTAACTTAATTTAGTTTTTGTTAATATTTTTGGGTGTCTGGAACAGATTAATTGGATTTACATTATTTCGTAGGGGAAATATTTCTTTGGTCTTCATCCATTTTGGATTTCGGCCGATCTTCTGGAACAGATTAAGGATGAAAACTGGGGTATTACTGTATATATTTTTAGCAGCTCATCTACAGTCTCTCTAAGTATAGCTGGGTTTGAGTGCGAGTAGACATAAGTGGTGTCATCTGTGAACAGAACTGGTTTAGGAAGTTGGGATGCATTGGGGAGATAATTGATGTAGATGAGAAAGAGGAGTGGGCCTAGGACACTACCCTGCAGCACTTTGACAACTACAGGCTGGATAGTGGAGTTAACTCCATTTGGCTTCCATTTGTTATTTTTTGGAGCAGTTTAAAATAAAAATGAAATAAGACTTGAAGCTTAATAAAAAGTTGCAACAAATTCATTTAGGACATGACAAAATTATAGTAAAATGAAATGATAATATAGTAATAATAATAGTGATGATAATAATAATAATAATAATAATAATAATAATAATAATAATAATAATAATATATAATAATAACAATGTGTAATGCAGTAAAGTACATTGGAAACAACAAATTACAGCACTAATAATAAATTACAGCACTTACAAACACTGATATTTTCATTTTATGCATGTGTGGAGAGCTTACATTTGTTTTTGTAAAGATTTTTTTAAGACCCATAGACTTAACATTTTGCTACCTCTGGTAATGAACAAAATATTGTTAGATTCCAATAAGATAATTTCCTTTCCTAATTAAACATTTTGACAGGTTGCTCTGTGAAAAAATCTTTGTTTGAATTTTTCACCCCTAGATAAAGACCTCCTTCAGACCTTCATAGATATTACCTTGTTCACACTCCATTAGCACTCCAATTTAATGGATATCTTGTAGAGCATTCATTACTTATGCTTCATATATTAGTGCTGGCATTGCCAGGGCCAAATACAGAAATTCTCTTGCTTACTGCACCAGCATATTCTTTCAGTGTACAAAGAAATTGCCTCATACTACTTGGGATACTGTATCTTGATTATAGCTTCTTGAAAATATCTTAAGCTCAGTAGTTGTCTCCTCTGTTTCTATATGGGTGGTATGATTCCATCTGGGGCCATTACCTATGGTCTCTCAGTAGAAAACTGAATTTTGAAGGATGAAATATGTCTTTCTACATCAGAAATCATGGGCTACTTCATTCATGCTTCCAATTATCAATGAGTGGGGTTGTGCATGCTACAGCTGGCATCTGTGCACTACCACAACATTAAGGGTATGATTGAAGAGAGGATGCGAACAGGTGTTTAATTTAAACAAAATTCTTCCCAGGCTGGAAGAGAGTATCAGGCATAAAATAGAAATGGCATATCCAACTGTGCCTCCATGATATCCAATGCATAAAGGTGTTTTTCACCCTTTAAAATACAGGTTTATAAACGTATTTATCTCTCTTTTGTTGGATTTTTTCACTTGTTTTGGTTTGTATCTACTCTATTTCCTTGAGAAACACTTGGTAGGAAGGTTTGGCTATGTTACTTTATAAAATTTTTTGTTTCCTCACTTCTTTTATCATTTACCATTGGTCCTTTCTTTCCTCCTTTGTAGGGCTTGTCTAATTGATACTGATTGTGATGCATGCCAAGTATATTTTATTTGACATTCGTCACGCACTCATTTGGCATGTCCTCTCAACCAGTGAACTAGCAATTCAGAGTGTAGCAGTTTGGTGCCCCACTGCTATGCTTACTGTTATTTCAGCCAGCCAATCACATGAAAGCCCTCCACTTCATCCAGGGTGACATCTTCAGTGCACCTGGCTGAGGGAGCAGACTTCCGCTTAGCCTTTAAGTTTCTTTGTCCCAATTCTATCTTATGTTTGACATGAGTAAGCATGAATCATGACAGCTTGTGCTTGTCTCTCTCATACTTCTACAATATTAGTATTGATACATTATATGAAATACCATTAATTTTTCCTTTATATGCCTATATTAGGTCTCTTTCCTGAAGATTTGTAAAATCTCAAGTAAATTCATAAATTAGTTCGTGAACTCTGCTGCAGATCATTAAGACATGCAAATATAAATGTAGAATATAAAAGGTGTTCACTGTATATAATGAACATAAGACACTGGATAGTTATAATTAAGGCAGAAAGAATATTAAGCCAACAGTGAAATGCTATCCTTAAACTTTTTTTTTCCCCATGCTTTCTTTTTATTGTAATTTACTGAGACAGGAATTTCTTTTGATTGCCTGGAGTTTACCTTGACAAATATAAAATAATCCCCTTGCTATATATGTTCCTTTTTTTTTTTAACACACCGACCATGTTTCATTGAGGTAGGTTGACCTGAAAAAGAGGAACCCTTTCACTGTCATTCATTCAATCACTCTCTTGCCATAAACATGCTATTATGTTCAATTTTTTTAATGCAGTATGTGTACAACAAATATAATTTAATTTTAAAACTTAATATCTTTGTTTTTCTTAGGTTCGTGGAGCTGTGACTGTAGTTGCTTTGCTTGGTGTAACATGGGTTGCAGGAGCAATTAGTGTTGGATGGGCCCGACAAATACTTCAGTACATATTCTGCCTTACTACACCACTGCAGGGATTAATTATCTTTATTGTACGTGTCGCTCAACACCCAGAGGCTCGAGCAGCATGGATTGCACTCTTCACAACAGGAACTCTACGAAGACGCCCTCCTACTCACTCAACCCATTCCTCAGCCCATACACATTCGACCTCCTCGTCTGCCCTCACTCCTCCTCGCAATTATCATTCTTCAGTACGCACTGTTTCCACCAGAGTTTCACCCAGAGGATCTATAAAACCTTCATCTTCTGTCAAAAGAAATGGCTCTGCTAAACACAGAAGCAAGAAGAATGGAAGTATCCACAGATATACATCCAACTTTGCAGGAATGGAAGCTTCAGAGTTTAGCATAAGTACAATTTTTTCTCGACTTGTTCATCGCCTTGGTAGCAATGACTTGGAAAATCATAAGTCTAAGACCCAGGAAGGTGAGATAAATAATTCCACAAGCACTGCAAAACATGTGCCTGAAATCATACCTTCAACTCTTCCCCAGCGAGACTACTCTTCTTCATTAAACGACGAAGCAAATTTTAGTGACAAATTATTACAGAAAACGTATTACCACAACAATAAAAATGAGTCTTTGTTCCGTCCACAGTCACTAGTTTTATTGCGAACAGATAATCATGGCAGTGTATTAACTAATCATCCATCAACTTTTTCAAAAAACATTAGCCATCAGTTTCCAGTTTTCCTTTCAACTAATTTGCTGTCCCAAGACCTATTAGAAGCTGGAATTCCAGCATCTATGATGCCACGAAGATCTTTAGGCTCTCTTACACTACTTACAGAAGGTAAAGAGGGAGATGACTCTTCCTGGCGCTTTGTTCGGCCTCCACCTGATGGTCGAAGTGATCCAGTGAATGAGGAAAGTGCTATAGAGCCAGATAAACAAAATATTTCTCAAGAATCAAAAAAACAAGTAAGTAATATAATTTCTGCAGCTGTTCAGTCAATCAGAGCAAAGGAACCTATAAAGAGTAGTGGCTGTGTTGTTCTTTCTGGACAACGTGTAGCAACCAATCACTTGGTCATGTTTTCAGGGGAACGCAATGATGTACATTCATCTTCATTTTTGACTAGAGCCAATAGTGAGTTACAAATGGGTTCACCGCCTATAAATTCAGTCGAATTACGTCGTTCTGCTTCAGTGTATACATTAGGAGAGTGGGAGGATCCAAGATCATCATTAGCTTGAGCTGCATATAACATACAATAGAATAATCCAAGTGCAGTTACTTAAGCAATTTAATAAAGACCAGATTAGAAACAGATAGACAATAAAGTTTTTGAAAAGAGAAAAAATACATTCTGTAGTTCATTCTTAATATCCATGAAGCCTTAGTGTGAGCTAAATTCTAATGTTACTATGTTATAAATAACCTATGTATGTACTGTAGTTTCTGTCAGATGTTGGTGCATACATAGTGTACCTGGCAAATGAAACTATTTATGAATAGTTTTAGCTGATGTGCACATTTCTTAATGAAAAAGTATTGTGGAATGTTTGAATGCTCTATGGACTCTGAAGTGGATTCTATGCCAGACATCAGTGATTTTATAATTTCACTAGGATGAATGATATAATGAAATACTAGATTTAATGGGAATGAAGTGGTAGTGTTAAACAAAATTCAGATAAAAAAAAAAGTCACAAGATTTCAAAAGGAAAAATTTAACTGTTTCTGTGTAAAGTCTACCATAGAGTTCCCTATTGATAGAGGAAATTGATCATAGTATAGTAGTAGAATAAATTTGAAAAAACTACGTAGGAACAAGATTATTTACTTATATCACACATACGTACCTGGTTTACACATCCCAATTCCATAGTGTTCGTGAGTGGCCCAAAGGTTTCATTAAACTGCATTTCACTTTACAGATACAATATGGGAAATGTTGTAGTTAAATTGTAGCATCTGCTGGGTCAGTCAGTAAACTTCAATTCCTGTAACCCAATCAACCCTATTTGAAGATATCAGCAGTATTCTGAAAAAAAAAAACACTTCTTAGGCAAACCTATATAATTTTAAAGCAGAAAATTTTGCACTGATAAAATTAGTATTTACAGTGCAGTATATTCTTTTTATTCTAACTGAAGGAATACATTAGAATCATTTACACCATTCAAAATAAAATGCAAGTATTTATTGTAACACTTTCTTAACCCCTTCACTGTCGAAAAACCCCAAAATTAAAAGTGCTGACAGTGTCGAGAATTTAAAAAAAAAAATGAATATAATGGCACCAAAAATACAAAATTAAATGGAAAATTTACAGAATTATACAAGTGCAAAATTAATGGTCTGGGCATAATTTATGCACTGGCAGTTTTGCCCACATTGAATCCTACTTAAATTCCTTTGCTCAATTCAACCAAATTCTTAGCTATTTCACTGGTATGCCTTCCATTTTATTGACTGAGCATTAGCAACTGCCCATTAAACTAACAGAACTACCTTATAAAGTACACACAGTTCATTAATTTGGCCAGTTTTACACAAATCTAAGAACTTTTCAATTTAACAGGAGAGTCCAAAATAAACACTGTAAGCATTCCAGCTACTAAAGCAACATTTCCTCTGCTTATTAATCACAATTCCATATCTCTCATATATTACAATTGCCTTCCACGCTGAATTCATCATTACACAAACCACAAGGATTTACCTTATTTCTCAGATAAAAAATATAACCTGAAATGAATGAAGGCATCCAATAATTGAAGAAGACCTAATGAAAGCTGTAAAACAGACAAGGGGGGGCCTTACGTGTCCTCAGGAAAATTGTCAAAAATCAAATATTTCTGCTACTCTGAGCCTGATTTCAAGCTAATTCCTGTCCTGAAACCAAGAAAATAATAAAATCCAATCTAGAAAACACCTCAAAGTTGCTATTTTAAACTAAACACAAGGACAAAGGTTTGCTTTTCTCATCATGCACCATTTGAGGCAAGTTTTTTGTATACCATGCACACTCGCTGAACAGACTTTTTCTCTAATGTCAAGGCCTAAATTTACTACTCGCAGCATATTTTAGAGTGCTGTGTTTGAAATGTAGATCTTCATGAGTGATGCTGGCATCAATAATGTAGATCTCCATAAGAGACAGTGAAAGGGGTTAATGACTCACATTCCACGTAAATCTGTTTGCCAAAACATGTTTTCCATGGACTCCTATTATATAACTGGAGATGTATTCTTGGATGTAAAACAAACTGATATGAGGTGTCTAGCTAATTCATACAAAATAAATATATAAGCACCATACAGTACATCCACCAATAGCTTATATACATTGAATTAAATAATTTGGTTGTAAAATGAATAAGAGAAAAAAATAAAAAAATATACAAGGAACACTCCAGTACAGGCAAGCCCTGCTTATAAAGAAGGTTAAGTTCCAGGCTACTACTGTAGTGAAAATCACCGTAAAGTGAATCTTAGTCTTTTTTCATTTTCAAATGCATATAAAAGCCTGACAGGGATGTGTAATGTCACCATGGTTGTTTAACACATTTATAGATGGGGTTGTAAAAGAAGTAAGTGCTAGGGTGTTGAGGAGAGGAGTGAGATTAAATTATGGGGAATCAGATACAAAATGGGAGTTGACACAGTTACTTTCTGCTGATGATACTGTGCTCTTGGAAGATTCTAAAGAATACAGTTGCAAAGGTTAGTGGACGAGTTTGGGAGGGTGTGTAAAAGTAGAAAGTTGAAAGTGAACATAGATAAGGGTAAGGTGATGAGGGTATCAAGTGATTTAGATAAAGAAAAATTGGATATCATATTGGAGGAAGGGAGTATGGAAAAAGTGAATGTTTTTAGATATTTGGGAGTTGACTTGTCAGCAGATGGGTTTATGAAGGATGAGGTTAGCCACAGAATTGATGAAGGAAAAAAGGTGAGTGGTGCATTAAAGTATCTGTGGAGACAAAAAATGTTATCCATGGAGGCAAGAAGGGAAAGTACAAGAGTACAGTGGTACCAACACTCTTATATGGGTGTGATGCATGGGTTGTAAATGCTGCAGCAAGGAGGAGGATGAAGGCAGTGGAGATGTGTCTAAGAGCAATGTGTGGTGTAAATATTATGCAGAGAATTCAGTGTGGAAATTAGAAGGTGTGGAGTTACTAAAAGTATTAGTCAAAGGGTTGAAGAGGGGTTCTTGAGGTGGTCATTTAGAGAGAATGGAACAAAATAGAATAACATGGAGAGCGTATAAATCTGTAGGGAAAGAAAGGCAGGGTGGGGGGTCATCCTCAAAAAGGTTGGAGGGAGGGGGTTAATGGAGGTTTTGTGGGCGAGGGGCTTGGACTTGGGCTTGGACAAGTGTGCATGAGCGTGATAGATAGGAGTGAATGGAGACGAATGGTTTTTGAGACCTGACAGGCTGTTGGAGTGTGAGCAGGGTAATATTTTGTGAAGGGATTCAGGGAAACCAGTTAGCCAGACTTCAGTCCTGGAAATGGGAAGTACAATGCCTGCGCTTTAAGGGAGGGGTTTGGGATATTGGCTGTTTGGAGGGACATCTAAACTGACGTATCTGAGCCCCTCTGCAAAGACAATGATTGTATATGAGTGAGGTGAAAGCGTTGAATGATGAAAGTTTTTTCTATTTTTTTCTTTTGTTTTTCTTTTTGGGTCACCCTACCTCAGTGGGAAACGGCCGACATGTTAAAAACACAAAACCTGATAGCATGTTTACCATATCATAAATTATGTGAGAAATATAGCTAGGCCTAAAAAATGCATATACTATAGTACACACATTACTTACCTTAAATATTTTGTCCATAGCTTATAGTGAGTAGTAAATATATTGTAGGAAGTCTGAATAAATGAAGAATGAGTATAATTAAAAACTGCTGCATTAATGAAATGCTGTTAAACGGGGCCTGCCTGTAATGGTCAGTTTGTTTATGTGACGACTCAGGAGAATCGTGGTTTGGCTTTTAGTCTTCAATCCCTTCACTTCAGAGAAGTGATGTGGATTGAAGACTAAAAGTAATCCTCATTACTTTTCTGAAGATTTCTAAGAAATTAAAATAATAGTGCCATTAAAGAAATATTTATGAAAATGCAGCCACATGAACCATGTGGCTGCATTTTCATAAATATTGCTTCAAGCTTAAAAAATTCTGCATGTTTAAGAAAAAACAATCAGTGATTATGTAATTCAAGATCAGTACAGATGCATTCAGCACAGGAGCTGACAGCATTGTTGGCCTGAATTAGAGAAAAGTTAGCCGTTATTAATCAAACTATAGTTGGCCATCCTCCCTTCAGTACTGTCAACTGTGAGAAAGTACTATCACATCTGAGCATTAATCACACCAAACTTGTGAGAATTGTCAGAGTGTGCTGACAGACCATCTTTTGTTCATTCATTAAAAAGCATGCTGACTTCATTATCAGCTTCTATTTCAGTATACTGTCATGCTAACATTGTCTGCACTCCTCTCTAATAGACCTACTTTTAGTTCAGATTCTCTTATTAGTTTTTTAAAACAGATACACTGTGCAGACTGACTCCTTTTGTTTTTGTAAACTTACTGAATAATTAGTGTCTCCTGCTGTGTCTAGCTGTTCCCTTCAGTGGAGCACTGAGTGACCTATTTAGTTAAACACTTTTTTATGAATAATGCAGTACTGTACTTGCTACTGTGGAGCATATCTTGCTTATGCAGTTTGGTCCCCTCCATGGAGGTGCCTTGATACTGGTGAGGAGCTCTTGATCCAAGGAAGCAAACTTATTCTTCCCTTCATTAGATTAAACCTGATTGCCTCCCATTTCCCATGTGCTGTGTGACCCCTATGGCACTTCCCTGATTATTATATTTTTTATAATAATAATATGCAATTTAGTATGTTCACATACGTGTGAAATCTTAAGTTTGCATCAAGAGGAGTGAAGGGCATATAAGCCAACATTACCCTGAATCTGAGTAGGTTTGTGGGGAAAATAAATGTAGTTTAAAGAACAATTAGGGTCTACCATGACTGATTATCTAAAAAAACAATGTTAGATTTTCTTTAGAATTTTGAGTGACAAAAAAGTTAACAGGGTCAAATGTTATGACAGTCATAAGTTCATGACCACTTAGCTGTTTTCACAGTTTATAACATATTGTATAACATAAACTATGAAGAACATTTATGTCACCTCTTGCTGCCACCACTTAAGAGTGTAAGCTCTGCCATATGTTCATCTAGATGCTGCACTTGCCATTACTGGCCATGTTTGCGAAGCAGTAACTGCTGTGTCTTGACTGTATGTTTTTGTGTATCAAAACATTGTACATTGAACTATTATTAAGCCAGGATTACCTGTAAATTAATAAGGTCTGATCTATTTACCTTAATATTATACCGCCTTTACCCAAATTGTATGTTTTTTCTTCTTACCCTATTTAGATATCTTGCCAATTTGTATTTATGCACTGTTTGACCATATTACTTTATACATTTCTTGAGTTTTATAGATTGTTTCATCTCATTGTGAGTTTAATCAAAAATAGGTCAGCTATCTTAGCATCTGACAATGAACTAGTCTCTGTGCCTAAAAAAAAAATTTTTTTTTTTGAAAGGCCATGTTGTGAATATGTATATACAGTATTATTTCTAGTGCTAATTATCTTAACATAGATACTATTGTACTCAGATACAGATACCTGTACTATTGTACTCAGATATATATTTTTATACATAATTTTCTTGGATGAATAATCCTTAATGTTTTAACTCTACTGAATTGATCCATCTTAATTTATAGTCTGCTACTCAGTTCCTAACATGACAGGACTCTTTCTTCATGGATCACACTAGACGAAATATTTAAAAAAAAATCATCACCTGAATTTTATGTAAATTTATGTACAGTAGATCAAATATAATTGTTAAATATATCTAGCACAACCTGCTTTTTTAGATTTCAATGAGCATTCATACTCATGCCCTCACTATGGGTTCATACCCCACCTGTTCCATGGTTTGTTTGCAATTGTGTTTATTACAATTTTGTGAGTCATGCACTTATTTTTATGACTATTTTTACCCTGAATAATTATTATAACTAAAAGTGTCAATATAAATTTTATTACCATCTTTTTGTATTAACACTGCTGTTTTAGTATGTAGATTTTTGTTATGCACTTAAAAATATCATCACATTTGATAACATTAAATTGCCACACAATTAATAATTTTAAACTTAGCATTCAGTTAATATAACTTTAAACTATACAACTACATACAGTAGTTGAACTGAATTTATAGTTGGCCTGAAAGGCTCTTCACAAATATGGCATTTCAAAATGTATGAAATAAACTCTGCTTCATATTGTAATAATTATGTACATTTTGAAAATACAGTGGAACCTTGACTTATGAGTTTAATCCGTTCCAGGATCTAGCTCATAACTCAATTTACTCGTATATCAAATTAATTTTCCTCATTTAAATTAACTGAAAAGCCATTAATTTGTTCCTGCACTCTGGAGAGATGAGAAAAATACTTGAATATAACGCTATTATCAACTGTATGGCTTATTTATCTATCACAATTCATCTAATATGTCATAATAAACAATATAATTAGCACAGAAACATGACATATACTACTCTAGAATGAATAAAATAGGTCACAGTATGGTGGCAGAGGCAGCAGCAGCAGAAGCGTCAGCCATTTCTGTCCCAATCTGACTATAGTATCTTCCGTTCTTACTGTAAGAGAAAACAAGAGTATTTTTGAGGCTAACTGCAATAGATCACTAGGACCCATGGTTAGAAAAAAGAAATTTGGCCAAATGACTGCAAAAAAATGCAAACAAGCATGAGAGAACTGCCCCCTACAGGAATGTAAACATGTTTACTGCTTACCAGCTGTACAAACTAACAGAAGCAATCTGAATTATTATTACATATGTATTATGCATTATTATTATTATTAATTCAGGGAACTGAAGCTGTGTCATTATTATAATAATAATTTTTTTTTTTTATTATCACACTGGCCGATTCCCACCCAAGCAGGGTGCCCGAAAAAGAAAAACTTACCATCATTCACTCATTACTGTTTGCCAGAAGGTGCTTTCCCCTACAGTTTTTTTAAAATGAACATTAACCCTCCTTCAGAGTGCAGGACTGTACTTCCCATCTCCAGGACTCAAGTCCGGCCTGCCGGTTTCCCTGAATCCCTTCATAAATGTTACTTTGCTCACACTCCAACAGCACGTTTAAGTTTTTAAAAACATTGTCCCATTCACTCCTTCAAACCCCGCTCCGCATGCCTGCTGGAAATCCAAGCCCCCTCGCACACAAAACCTCCTTTACCCCCTCCCTCCAAACCTTCCCAGGCCGACCTACCCCGCCCCTTTCCCTTTCCCCTACAAGATGAAACACTCTTGAAGTCTTCTGTATCGTCCCATTCTCTACATGCCCGAACCACCCTCCAACCCTTCCTCCGCCCTCGGACAACAGTTTTGGTAAACCCGCACCCCCTCCTAACTTCCAAAATACGAATCTTCTGCATTAATTTCACACCACACATTGCCCCCAGACACGAATCCCCCACTGCCTCCGCCTTCTCCTCGCTTTCAACATTCATCACCCACGCTTCCACCCATATAAGACGTTGGTATTTAAAACTAACTCTCATACATTCCCTCTTGCCTTCCAAAGGACAAAGTCTTTGTCTCCACAGACTCCTAAGTGCACCACTCACTCTTTTTCCCTCATCATTCTATGATTCACCTCATCTTTCAATGACCCATCCGCTGACACGTCCCCACTCCCAAATATCTGAATACGTTCACCTCCTCCATACTCTCTCCCTCCAATCTGATATTCAATCTTTCATCACCTAATCTTTTTTATCCCCATAACCTTACCTTTCCCCCGTATTCACCCTTTTAAATTTTTTCTTTTGCACACCCTACCAAATTCATCCCCATCTCTGCAAATTCCTTCAGAATCCCCAAAGGGACAGTGTCTCACAAAAAGGGAGGGACAACTCCCATTTGTATGTATTCTTTATCTTTAATCCCCGCCTTTCCCAAGGGCCCTGCTTTTCTTCTCTTACAAAAACCCCTCTATAAAAATTTTTAAACAACCCGGTTTACATACACTCCCTTTTCTAAGGCCCATTTTCGGGGGAAAAAAATTTCCCTCTTTCCTACATACCTTTTAAATTGAGCCTCATATCCTCGTTTAAAAACTTTCAGCTTTTAGAACCTACCTCCACACCATCACTTGCAACTCTGCCCCCATTGCCCCCTATCCCCCCTGTCATCGCCCCTTTTCCCAAAACCAAAATCCACAAAGACCTCTTTGCCCTTTTTAAATTTGTTCCTTTTTGTTTTACTGTAAACCCTGGTCCCCACACCCCCACCTTTCCCCAAGCTCCCTTTTTCATCTGCTACCTATTCTCCCTTTACTCTTAATTCTTTAAATTCATAACCTTTCCCTACACTTTACCAGGTACACTCAACAGACTTTCCCCCTATAATTTTTGCACCCTCTTTTTTCCCCTTTGCCTTTATACAAAGGAAATATGCATGCTCTCTGCCAATCCCTAGGGACCTTACCCCCTTTCCATAATTTATTAAATAAATTTCCCAAAACCCAAAACTATATCCCCACCCGTTTTAAAAATTTCATCTTTTCCCATAAAACCCCGGCTGCCTTGCCCCCTTTCTTTTTTCCTTTTGCCTCCGAAATTCCCCCACATCACACGGGGTCTTCCTTTACTCCCCACAAGAGTTATTCCTCCTTTCCTTACACGAAATCACAGCTTCCCCTTTTTCTCAAACATTTAACAAATTTCCCAAAATATTCCCTCCATCTTCCAATACCTCTAATCTCCTTTTAAAAACTCTCCTTCCTTTTTTAACTGCAATCCATTTGTTCTCTAGGCTTTTTAACTTGTTTATCTCATCCAAAACTTTTTTTTATTTTCAAAAAAAATTTGTTGATAACATCCACCCCCTCTCTCATTTGCTCTCTTTTTACATTTCTTCACCCCTCTCTTACTTCTCTTTTTTTCCATATTCTTCCCCCCTTGCTATTCTACTTTGTAAAAACTTTCATATGCACTTTTTCTCCCTTTTCTACTCTCTTTACTCTATTCCCCCAATCGTCCTTTCCCCCCTGCACCACTTTTCCCGTAACCACAAACTTTGCTGAACCTCTAACACTACATTTTTTAAAACCCACCCCTACCTCTTCGACCCCATTGCCTATCTCTATTAGCCCCTTATCCTCCAATAGCTGTTTAATCTTACCCTAACTGCCTCCCTTTTGTTTATAAACCTTTACCCCTCTCTTCCCTGATGCTTCTATTCTCCTTGTATCCTTTCTACCTTTTACTCTCAGTGTAGCTACAACTAGAAAGTGATCTGATATATCTGTGGCCCTCTATAAACATGTACATCCTGAAGTCTACTCAACAGTCTTTTATTACCAATACATAATCCAACAAACTACTGTATTTCGCCCTACATCATATCGTGTATACTATTTATCCTCTTTTTCTTAAAATTTGTATTACCTATAACTAAACCCCTTTCTATACAAAGTTCAATCAAAGGGCCCCCATTATCATTTACACCTGGCACCCCAAATTTACCTACCACACCCTCCTAAAGTTTCTCCTACTTTAGCTTTAAAGTCCCTACCACAATTTACTCTCTCACTTGGTTCAAAGGCTCCTATACCCTTCACTTAACATCTCCCAAATCTCTCTCTCTCCTCTGCATTCCTCTCTTCTCCAGGTGCATACACGCTTATTATGACCCACTTCTCGCATCCAACCTTTACTTTAATCCACATAATTCTTGAATTTACACATTCATATTCTCTTTTCTCCTTCCTAACTGATCATTTAACATTACTGCTACCCCTTCCTTGCTCTAACTCTCTCAGATACTCCCGATTTAATTTCCCCTTTATTTCCCCCACTGAAACTCTCCTACCCCTTCAGCTTTGTTTCGCTTAGGGCCGGACATTCCAAATTCTTTTCATTCATAACATCAGCAATCATCTGTTTTCTTGTATCCGCACTACATCCACGCACATTTAAGCAACCCAGTTTTATAAAGTTTTTCTTCTTCCTTTTTTAGTAATTGTTTACAGGAGAAGGGGTTACTAGCCCATTTCTCCCCGGCATTTTAGTCGCCTCATACGACACGCATGGCTTACGGAGGAAAGATTCTTTTCCACTTCCCCCTGGACAATTTGAAGAAATAAAAAGGAACAAGAGCTATTTTAGAAAAAGGAGGAAAACCTAGATGTATGTATATATATATATGCATGTGCGTGTCTGTGAAGTGTGACCAAAGTGTAAGTAGGAGTAGCAAGATATCCCTGTTATCTTAGCGTGTTTATGAGACAGAAAAAGAAAACCAGCAATCCTACCATCATGCAAAACAGTTACAGGTTTTTGTTTCACAGTCATCTGGCAGGACGGTAGTACTTCCCTGGGTGGTTGCTGTCTACCAACCTACTACTATAACCAACCTACTACTATATTATTATTAATTTAGGGAACTAATGCTCTATCATTATTATAACTATTATTATTATTAATTTGGGGGAACTGAAGCTCTATCATTATTATAACAATTATTATTATTATTAGTATAGGGAACTGAAGCTCTAGCTTTAATATAATAATACAGTAGACCGCCATTGAAGAATTGCTGCACAATTTTCTGTAACACTTCGTATAATTAACTTAACATGGTTCAGTTTGTGGGAAGGAAAAAAAAATTCTCTTTTGCTCAAGCGGCCACCTTGTTGTGTAGCAGCCAGGGAGCCATCCTCTACCACTCCCCGACACCAACAGCACCCCCCACCATCCCCTACCACTCCCCAACACCACCCCCACCATCCCCTACCACTACCCGACACCACCCTACCATCCCTACCACTCCCCGACACCACACCCACCATCCCTACCACTCCCCGACACAACCCACCATCCCCTACCACTCCCGACACAACCCCACCATCTCCTACCACTCCCCGACACAACCCACATCCCCTACCACCCCCACACCACCCAACCATCCCTGCCACTCCCCGACACAACCCCACCATCCCCTACCACCCCCACATCACCCCACCATCCCCTACCACTCCACGACACCACCCCACCATACCCTACAACTCCCCAACACAACCCCCCACCATTCCTAATTCATACGTGTCCAGTCTTTCTCTCCTACAAGGCAGCTGTGTTTGTCAATTGTGTTATGATATTTTAATTACTATATCTTGTATCTGCCAAGCAATCATGACACCCAGTAGCCATACTAGTGTTGCTGAAAGTGGCACAAAGAGGTATAAGCACTTAAGTCTTAAAATTAACAAAGATATTAAACAAGTGGAACAGAATTCTTCCTCCGTAAGCCATGCGTGTTGTAAGAGGCGACTAAAATGCCGGGAGCAAGAGGCTAGTAACCCCTTCTCCTGTATAAATTACTAAATTTAAAAAGAGAAACTTTTGGTTTTCTTTTTGGGCCACCCTGCTCGGTGGGACACGGCCGGTTTGTTGAAAGAAAGAATTAAACAAAGAGATACCTGTAGCCATAACTGAAGTGTTACTTTGTACACAGAAAAAGAGGTTAACATGAGTTTGTGTGATTGACTGACTGAATGACTGACTTACTGAACAACTGACTGACTGACTGAACTGACTGACTGAATGACTTACTGAGTGACTTGACTGACTTACTGAATGACTTGACTGACTTAGAGTGACCTGACTGACTTACTGAATGACTTGACCGACTTATTAAGTGACTTGACTGTAATATTATTATATTATTATTATTGCTGAGAAGAAAAAGAGAATGACTTCCATGGAATTAAAGCATGAAATCATAGATAAACAAGAGAGGTGTCCAGGTTTTGGGTTGAGGGGGAAGAGGGAGGGGGGAGCTGGCTCGTAACTCAAATGTTGGCTCGTAACTCAGAGCAAAAAAATCG